CCTTTCTTCGGTTTTTGCGCTTTTTGACTTCCAATTATCCCAAAATTCGACCTCGACCTCGACCCTTCCACATGTGCTAGGACCTGAAATGTATCAAAACAAGCACAACCAAGCGTGAAATATGTCGAGGAATGATGAAATGCAAAATCAAACTATCAAGAAATGAGGGTCAAAATGTGTACATTTGGACCAGAATCATAGACACATAACAAACGCCAAGCATACACTAGCATTTATCACATCTCGATTCATGTTCATTCAACTTCTATGTTTATCATCATGGCTTACATTCATATTAGTGGTCATATGAGATGATTGAGAATGATGTCTTAAATTATGGCTAATTATCATAAATGGTTACAAAACTAGTCACTTTGTACAAAACGGTCACAAACCTTTAATTGTGCACGATTCGATAACATATGTTTGGACTAATAACAAAAAGGTAATTTCGTCCAACTCCATCAAAAAAATCGTTAGTTCCGTCCAGTTAGCACGCCACGTCATTTAAGATATTAATAAAAATAGTAATGATCAAAACCACTTGAATTTATAACCCAGCCGAAAACCCTAATGCTAACCACCAAACCCAATTATTCTTCGTCTACCCCATCTTCCTCCCTTTGTTCTCACCAAAAATCACCACATATCCCTCTTTTTCTACCAAAAATATCAATCCTAACATGGAGTTGCATAGAGCTGTTGTGAAAGGATTGGACGAAAGAAAAACTTCCACATTATTCCTGTACATTCCAATCCAATGCTATACTAACAACTGGAATTTCAAAAGTCAAAACTCGAGCAGAAGTGCAGGAAAGAGATTGAATGGAGAGGGCGACGACGAAAGTGCTGGTGGTCGGGGGCCCACCCCTGCTTCTTCTGGTCGGAGTTCCCCAGTGGCTTTTCACGTCGATTTGCGAACCGGCGACGGACTGGAAACTTTTTCTCGTCGATTCGGCCAGTTGTGGAGACCGTAAAAAACCTTCGATTCATTTGTTTGTTCAATAGGTTTGACTGCGTGGACAACGAGACCCATCATCACTTCACCTTACTCGTCCGAGGACTCAGCACTCCAACACCGAGTCAATCAAATTCACCAGCGTCAGAATCTTCAATTCTGTCGTTCGCTTCCGCCCCTGTTCTTTGAATTTCCTCAGATCCATCCGGCTGGAACACTCATCGATCGACCAGCTCTTCGTCGATTTAATCGCCAGCTCAGCTCTCACCTCTTCGAAACCCTAGAACAGTGGAACTCGACGTCGTTTCGACGGTGAGGAAACTCCAGGTTTCGAACAATTTGAACGCGCTCAAGATCGAGAATCCGGTCAGGTCAAGGAAATCGAATTATGATTTTCAGTTGGGTTATCTGTTCAATTGGGGTTGATCATTAATTTTTTTATTAATATCTTAAATGACGTGGCGTACTGACTGGATGGGAACTAACGGTTTTTTGGATGGAGATGGATGGAGTTACTTTTTTATTATTAGTTCAAACATATGTTACTGAATCGTGCAAAATTAAAGGTTTGTGACCGTTTTGTACAAAGTAAATAGTTTTGTGACCATTTATGATAATAACCCCTTAAATTATTTGATGTGCACCTGTTACACAATTTGGTAGTCAATAAACAAAAGGTATGAACATTAATGGTTAGCTATCTGTGTTCTACCCTAACCTTACTTTAAAGGATATGTCCACCAGATAATGTAAGATATTGGATTATAGTGAGTAGAGTGGCCATGTGAATACTTTGATCACTTATATATATGCATAGTCGATTTAGGGGTCATTTGGAAGTTGCCTATGTTAAATAGTTGTATTATTATGAATCACTATGATATAAATGTATGCATTGATACAATAGATGCATTTTGAAATTACATTGTTTGGTTGTGGAGATTATAATTTATGAATTGATTGTTATAAAGTTACTTTATAAGGAAATGTCATATTTGTCCCCCACTTTTAATATAAAACAAAAAAAGACTATGGACATAATTGGAAAAAGTAAAAGTGCTCAATTATTAAACCAACAATCACAACAATCTCATTTTTGTTTATTGTTAGTGGGACCCACACAAAACAATACATGCATTGTTTTGCAACTTGACACTTCCAAACGTTATATTGTGGACAATACATGTGTTTAACAAATACAACCTTTCATTTGCTCTTTCTTTGTCTATTGAGATTTCAATGGGTAATACTACGAAGGCGCTGCCCTTTTCTTTTTCTTTCTTATTATCTCTTGAAAATATTTTTCTACCTAATTGATTATCTTTCCCAACCTTGTTTCTTATATTCTCAGGGTAATACAAAATAGAGATCCTTCTTAAGAAATTAAGAAGGATCTCTTAGCTTTTGTTTTCTCTATTTGTTTTCGACAATACTAGCCGAAGAAAAATCAAGGTTTATTCCTTTTCTCCTTCCTCTTTCTTTGTTTTATATTCTTCACTTTTGTTTTCATTAAATTTTTTATGATGCTTCTTCTTTATATATATATATATATATATATATATATATCCTGTTATGTGTACTTTCCCTAAGAACGTCTTGTGAATTTTCTTTGATTTTGACTTTTGGATACCAATGCTTTACAATATGATGACCCAAAATTGGAAAGTATGCAACACGATTTATAGTTATCATGTAATAGCTTCCAATCTAGCTGCTTTCTTCTCTTAATCTTATGAGATAAATGTTAGGTTTGACTATCTTATCAAAATATGTAACAAAAGGAATTTGGTAAACATTTTGTGTTATATATATACCTATAAAAAATTAATGGGTATTTTTAATAATGAATTCAATATCACATAATTACGAAAAACAAAGAAGGACACCATATTAATGAAACAAATTAATAATAATTTGTTGTTACATTGCTTGTGCATATTAAATATTATATAAGTGTTTCGCTTTAACTTGCAAGCATATTTGCCATACATTTGGTTGATTAATTGCTGGAAAACTAAATACCATATATGTTGCATGTAGACTCGATGGGAGGGGAACGAGAAGACAATTTGATTTAGCCTCTCAACCATTACTGAACCCCTAAGGTCTGAGGAAACCATTGGTCATAAGCACGTTTCCATCTATCCATATATATTGTTTTGGAGTACATTTGTGCATCCAAGAAGGCAGCTGCAATGTTAAAGGACAAGATTGAGAGAATCTTACAAGTTGATGCTCTACAAGGCCTCCCTATGGCCTCAGAGATCCACGTCTTTCTCGTGGTTCCAGATACTGATTCATTCTTGTTGGTGCCAAAAAAATAATGATTGTGGAAACAAAGATGATTGTGCGGTTGTACATAATTATCATCAAGATGAAGGTGAAATCGATGGACCAATAACAACGTCGAATGGTGAACACGCGAGAAGATTCACAACGGGTAACATTACCATCCCATACACCAAAGTGAAAATCCTTTCCCAATATCTAGCAGCATTGACCTGTTCTTGCCACAATTACTGCAAGTATGGAGCGCGCAAAGAAGGTGGAGAAGATGTTCATGAAGAGACACATGACAACACGTCCACTTTGAAGAGATTTAATGATACGCTAGGGAAAGGGCATCGTGACATGTTAAAGCAAGTTGCTACAACTTTAATGGAGATGAGGAGCAAGATGGCAATTTCCCAAAATATCACTCCAACAAATACTACAACACCGAGTACCTATTTTAGTAGCCCCAAACTCAATCCCTTACGAGATGCCACAACTAATAAGAAAGGAAGCACTATCACTTCAGAAATTGTTGATTCCCCAAACCCTCAAAGAAGCAATCATTCTCGTTACAAGAAGGGTACTGATAATAATCCATCTAGGATCAAATCATCATCTACCTCACAACTAGGTGTCTTTGGTAGTTCAAAGTCATACACTTGTAGGAAAATGGATGTTTCTCCCTCCATAAAGAGTAGAATGCTTTTTCCCAAACTAGGAACATCCTCATATACTTCACAAGTTGTTGGCAGTCCTAAACATCAAAAGTCAAGAGGATCAATGTTAGTGTCCAAGGTGGAAACTTCATCTTCTTCAACAAATAAGCTGCCTATCTTGTCCAAGATCTTCTCTACATCATCATCACTATCTACATCATTGGTGTCATCATGCCATTATCCAAATCACCAAAAAGTTGACCCTTTTTGTTTCTCCATTTCATAGGAGGGCAGCTAGCATGTCCAAATCATCACTTTCTTCTCCTTCGCTTATTGGCGCTGAAGATTCCAAAATAAGTCTTCATACACAGCAGAGGGTGGAATCACAAAGACCCAAATCTCTGTTAGCAAACAGCCTTAGTGCCAGAGAAGAAATAAGAGAGCGAAGAAGCAAGAAGTTGGAAGCTTCAGTGGGTAGTTTGAGTGTGGGTTCTAGTTTTAGTAACCTAAAGACTACAGGCTCCCCAAGAACAAGATCTAGTGTGGAGAAGGAGACAAGTTCTTCTCCTGCAAAACCCAAATTCTTAAGGAGACAGTCCATCTCAGAACATCACAAGAGTCCAACAAAAAAAATTACGAGATTGAATTGTGAAAAGAGCATGAATAGGAAAGACACCCCTTATCCCAAAGAGGATCAGGGTACCAGTAATGATACTAATGTGGATAAGCAGAATGAAATAAAAAAACTCAAGAATGAACAAGTTGAAAGCCAAATAAGAACATATGTTACTGTTAATGAGACCAACATTAATACTAGTATGGAAGCAACACCTACCACAAATAAAAGAGGGTCGATTGTAGCTTCAGCAACTAAGAAACCTCAAGCTAGTGAAAACAATATCACTCAATTGAGTACACTATCTATAAGGAAAAAGAAGATGTTACATCGACCAACACATCATGTTCATGGAAGTAGCTCTCCTCTAATCCTTGACAATTACAAGAATTTGTGGTGCTCTACAGCTAGATCTGTGATCTCTGAACCCATAGCTAGATCCAAGGATTGTCATAGTGTAATATCATCCACTGAAAGCTGTGAAACTGACTTGGTCATGGAGCAGAAAGCAATGGAGAGAGTAATATCTTTGGGGAGAAGTAGTAGTGCTAGTACCAAGCGTACAAGACGTGGATCCATATTGAACGTTGGAAATCATCATATTAACATAGATGAACTACCGAGAAAGCTGAAATTTAGGCCATGTAGAGTGACTGAGTTCAAGTCTGAGATTACAAGTCCATGAAGGCTCAAGTTCAAGCGAAGAGCACCGCGAAATGATAGCTCGTGGTCCAAAATTTACACAAATTTTGGGGTTTTAAGGAAAGGTTGTGGGAGGAGGGAAGAAATTAATCGACGAGTCATGTTTGCGGATGTGGTTGATTATAAGAAAGTGGTATTAAGGCACCAAGAGATGCAAGCAGATAAAGTACTTACGCAGGCTTCAATAAACAACATGATTGAAGAAATAGTGAGTAAGCTGGTGGAGGACAAGAAGAGCAAAGTGAAGGCTTTGGTTGGTGCTTTTGAGTCGTTGAACACTCTTCATAATTCCAAAGTCATTCCCACTCTAACTGTATGAGCACTTCATCATCAATTATGTTGAGGGATGAATTCTTTTTGAAGTGTTGGTGTGTTATGAATCAGATGCATATGCACATACATTACACTTAAAGTGGGTAAGGTACTAAACAAGAAAAATATATATACTGGTCAATGGAGATGAAGATAACGAAGATGGAAGCAAGAAGGCATAACAAAAGATATAGTGGAACACTGTTTTCTTTTGTTCAACCCTTACTTCTCCCCCTATAGATGCAAATTTAAGGCAGAGTTTTTTCCCCTCCTTTTTCACTCTTCAAAATACTTGTTAGTTTAAGATGATAATGATAATTCCATAACAAAGTATTTAGTTGAGCGAACAAGAACTTGTTTTAATGATATTATCGATGGTCTTCAAGTTGATGGTGTCGAATTCGAATACTTTATGGGTTAATACCTTAGTTTGGCATGAATTATACACATACTTTCTATTTTGGCTCGTGGTATTAAAAGTTGCTATTATGGCCTGAACTATGTAGCAAACTTCCTCATTTGCCCGGAGGCGGGTTCGACCGTCAAATTAGACGGTCAAACCTGTTGACCATTAGTCAATATCCACCTCACCTGCCATGTCAACTTATAATTTTTTATTTTTGAATTTTGTTTTCTTTCGATTAACAAAAATAATAAATCAAAAAAATTAATTAAAAGAACGAAAAAGGGCCCATTTTTAGCAATGGCAAGAAAGCCAAATTCAGAAATAAAAAAAATGTTTTTTATGTCCTCAAAGCTGACGTGGCAGGTGAGATGGACATTGACTAACGGTCAACAAGTTTGACCGTCTAATTTAACGGTCAACAAGTTTGACTGTCTAATTTAACGGTCAAACCCTCCTCCAGGCCAAATGAGGAAGTTTGCTACATAGTTCATGCCAGAATAGCAATTTCCAATACCATGGGCCAAAGTAGAAAGTGTGTGTAGTTCGGGCCAAATTAAGGTATTAACCCATACTTTAACTAGCATTTAACAATAAAAGCAAATTTATTCCTCTAGAACTTTAGGTGTACTATTCCAACTCAAGCCAAGTATATCTTGAATTGGCGAAGTAATATAATGGAGACCGAGGCATATACCTCTTGAACTTTATGTGTACTACTACTTGTGGCCTTAAGCTACTGTCTATTGAACAAGATGGTAGGGTTGGAATTTGAATTAAACTAAATTCACAAAATCGAAGAGATTAAACTAAGTATGAGGAAGATCACCAGAGGTAGGTTGCTGCTTAGGGTTCAATACCTCTAATTATGGCTTGATATGGGTTGAGTACAAGCTACAACCCAATGATCATGCAATTGTGACTTTAGTCTATATATTGGTGTTTAAAATTGACCTAATTGGATGGTCACCATTCTTTGATCATGAACAAAGCAATTAATCTTCTTTACTAAAGCAAGGGATTAGCATATAATGAAACATCAAATAGATAAAGATAATAGGTTCATAATCATGCTAAAGCACAAATGCACTAGAATTTACTGGATATAATTCATCTACCTATGCAACAACAAAGTTAGAACATAGAGAGAGAGAGTGTGTGTGTGTGTATGAATAGGAGGAAGAACACCAATCCAAAGATAGATCCGTCTTCCCCTTTGTTGCAATAAGGCTAGCAGTGAGACCTTGTGATCTCGTCGTCGCTCACATTCACGACCTAAAACATGCCACATTTTGGGTCATGGTCATGGCTCTAGGCATGACATGACTCTATGTCTGCTTATCTTCTTCTTTTTCGACCTTCAAAAGTTTTTGGATTAGTAAGAAACTTGGCATACAAGCATACATGCAATCCATTCATTATCAACAAACCATATGCATAGGAAAAGAATTCAACCATTGGTAAGCAACATATATATACAACACCCACACTTAAGCCACCCATTTTTCACAATGTGCATAATCATATAGGTACAAGTCTACCTCTTTGAAGGACCAATGAAGAAGGTGAAGGTTCGATTGAGGGTTCATTTAGGTTCAAGAAGATGGGGTTCAATGATATGGTGAATTATTTAGCAACAAGGACCTTTTCAAGCTCGGAAAACATCATTCCATGTCGTGTCTCTCCGTCCGATTCAAGACAAATTATATGTTGCATTGTCACGAGGAGCTAGTAAAGAGTCATGATAGCGGTACCCGCAGGGCACACACAGTCTTAGAGTGAGGCATCTATTGTCCCTCACTCTTTAGAGACTAGGATAGACATGTGAAGTCATGCAATGCTTGTCAAATTGTTTCATCTTAGTGGTAGTGGGCTATGTTAAGAAATGGGTGGAATATAACAATGATTTCCCCCATTTTGGATGACACTGTGTGGACATTCATGGGAGGAATCTGATAGACTCCTACTCAAACCCTCAATTCTATTCTTAACTGCTCATATTTGTTTTCTCTGTTGTTTTGTATTTAAAATTAAAGGTGCCTTAATTTTATTTTGAACTTGGATTCATCTCTAAAGAGATAGTTTAGATTAAGATTTGGGAAGTCTATTTTCGTACTGATATTCAAGTTCGAAGGTAGCTGTAATCAACATTGTATTTCTTTGTTTTTTTTGGTACAAATCAACATTGTATTTCCCCTTTATATATCTGTCACTCTTACTACTAAACACAATTTTGTTGGAGGAAGCTTAGTCAATGGCATCGTGAAATTAAGGAAAGCAAGAATGATGAGATATCATTTTCGGTATCAAAATTGATTCACAGATCAGCAAGCAACGGTCAAACTGAAGCAAGCTATATAAAGCTGGGATTTTTGGTAGGCATGAGATATCATTTTCGGGCATATTCTCAAGAACAAAACAGAGTGTTTTCATGTAGTAGTTTTGAGAAGAAAAAGAAAAAAGTTGTCAGGGAGAGAACTCAAGTTACAGAATTGGGATTATCAGGGTAGAGTGGTTGCATGGAGTAAAACTCTACAATGGGATTCAGATCGAGTGACAGGGAGGCACACTGAGATCAACCTTTGTTCTTTGTAAATTGATCTAAAACCATCATAACGGAACGTCGAAGGACTCAAATCATAGATCCTTCAACCGTGGACTATTCGATACTAATTTATCAGTATCGAAAACCACGTAAAAATTGGCTATGTCATTGCACTGGTTCATTGTGTTAGCTAAGACTACTTTTACTCTCTGTTTGTGTTCTAATCTCTGTTTTGCAAGTGATCGAGAACAAGAACACAGAGCAGCAAGTGGAGAAGGACTAGTTTGTAGGCCGGCGAAAGGGAACATAAAGTTTGAGCCCAACAGATAACACAAAAGCGACTTTGGACTTAAACCAAACCAACGTTCATTTCGCTTAAAGTCTATTAGTTATTTCAGAAACAAGAAGTTGTTTAATCTGTCAATTTTCTATCGATCTATTGCACTCAATCTTTTTTTCATCTATGTTGAGACTAGGGTTTGTGGCTCTCACTGAGGAAAGAAGCTCACGTCTTGCGCTCGACTCAAGTGGAATATCATCGCGTTACTGGATGTAAATCTGCAAAGGAGATTTGGGATAAACTTCAAGTAGCGCATGAAGGTATGCTCATGTAAAGATTTCAAGAATCAATAGTCTGAAGCAAGAATTTGATTCTTTCATCATGAAGCCTGAAGAATAGGATTCACTACTGAAGCGAAGAAAAGGCTGGATCAAGAAAAGGGGGTACTACGAGCCCTCTGCCCCACGCATCTAATCAGTTCGCGCGGTTCACCGGTTCCACCGACGTCACCCTTAGAGTGATTCAGTCGATACAGAGGTGCGCTTGAAGTGGGGGGTGTGCTGTCCCTATTGGGCTGGGCCCTTCCCCAAAAGGCCCCACCGTTGGGGCATAAGCGCCCTCTTGCTACCCATATGCGAGGCGCCGTCTTAGCCTTCCCTGACCAGGATAGCTCCCACCCCTGTAGCGTTCGTGATCAAAGAGATGAATGAAAGATTGACGACTATTGTAAATAGTTTGATGAATCTGGGACCCATTCTCCGTCTCTCTTCCTCCTCTTCCTCTCAAACGACGCCATTCTCCGTCTCTCTTCCTCCTCATCTTCTTGTGACCCGACCAGGGCAAATAACGGCGGTGGGTGAGTCTTTGTCTGGTGGCGACGAGGATCGACGATGATGGGAGCTTGGCAATTATTTGGAGGCGGTGGAGGCGCGGTAGTCTGGGTCGACGAGGAGGTATTCTGGCTATATTAGAGGCTTCGGAGGCCACACGGTGGCGCGACGTAGGCGAGAGGAATTGACGGCGTGAGGAACGAGATGACGATGGGGATGTGACGGAGGAGATCGCGACAATGATGGTGTGAATTGATGGCGAGATGGCAGACTGGTAGTGGCACGACAAGAGACTAAAATGGCCAGCGACGGTCGACGATGACGGCAGGCGGCGGCGGTACTCCGGCAGGTTAGTTTCTTCCCTTTTTTATTTTATCTTTTCACTACTAATTGCGAGAATGAGATTTAGGGATATATGGATCTATATTAGTTTTCGAGTGTGATTTCGGCAGAATGGTGTTGCAGGCAATGAGGCAAGAATGGAGGAGCAGAGGAGGAGCGGGTGTGGTATAGTGAACTGAACCGGTTTGATCTGACATGTGGGTTGTTGGATCAAAACTATGGGCTATGGCCCTTTTGTTATTTCTCTTTTGTGTTGGAAGCCCAAATGTGTAAAAGAAGAGGTTGTAATGGACCGACAAATAGTATGAGCAGCTAAAACAATCACAATCCAAAAAGTCGAATCAAGAAGAAGAGTGTACGAGAACGTTTTTTATTATAATTTTCTATTGAAATTTGAATTATTCGTCGAAACATTCATTATGAACGAAATTATTTAGTTTGGAAAAATCCGCACAAAAATGGGTGCCAACACCTCCTTTCCTGCCATTAGCCTCAACTTTTAACTCATTGGAGAACCCTAGCTTATCACAGACTGCATCCGCAGTGTTCCCGCTGATTTGCGGTTCTAAGAGGATCCCAACATCCGGCCTACTCTCTTGAATGGAAAGCTTCAGCGCACGAGCAAAATTTTTACTACCTGCCTTACCAACATTCCAAGAACAATTTAAGTGTATTAAATGACGACATAAAAAAGGGATTAAAAACAGAGAAGGGAGAGGGAAAAAGAACAGGGAACGAGGTCACCGAGTTAAGAAGATGGTCGGTCGGAGACGTCTCCCGACCTGATCGCCCTCGACGCTTCACTCATTGGCTCGGTCGACGTCTCCCCTGCCTTGTGCCAACATCTGTATTTCCTGTAGGGTTAAAAGCAATCCGGGAGTTGGATTTCCCCCTCCTAACTCTCACATGTGACCAAATTTTAAGAGTTTTTGCAGGATTGAACTTGGTCGGAGAGTGTCTCTTTGTTGTAGCTTTCACTTTCATCTGCGATTTGATTTTCGTGGGGGATCTATTTTTCTTCATACGCTTTCCGGCAGAGAGCAAAGGGGGTGTTTCTGTTGGGTTGGAGGTGCCGAATTGTACGATTTGCATCTGTGCGCCATTGGGCCCGGTGATCATTTGGGTTTCAGGAGCAGGAGGCAGACTTGGTTGCTAGGTCGGGCTGTCCGCAGCTGCTAAGGTGGAGGCTTTATGGATATCAGGCCGCTCCTTTGGCCGAGGTGGGCTTCAGTTCGGGATCGGGCCCAGAATGCCCTTAGGAGACGTAGGGTTTTGGCCAAACACCTTCTCCTTTCCTTTGCTTTTTTCCTCATTGATCTTCAAGCCGTTGTTCCCTCTTTTTTCTGTTGCGCAGAGCGGTGTGGACAGGGGGCTCTTTGATTTCTCTAGAGAAGGTAAAGAATCTCTACCTTCCATCCCCGCTGCTCCTCCTTTCCCAGTTTTACTCATATTAGATGTGATTTGGTGCGGCTGATCTGCATTGAGACTTCCTTTCTTGGTATTTTCCCTGAAGTTTCGCCTGCTTTTGCGGGTCACCATCATCCAAGGTCCAAAACCTAGGATTCAACTTTGATTCCGTTTCCGTCAGCCCTCCCAACGGTTCGCCCCCGACCAGGGGTAGAGTAATCGTGGATGTAGTAGTCGGCCGGAGAAGAGGACAAGTTGTCGAAGTATGGCCGATCTTTCCACATTCAAAGCAAACTGTGAGTAGATTCTCATACTCCACCTTATGTCAGGCATTATCCAGCCAATTCTTGGAACTAGATGTTTGGACATATCAACCTCCACGGCGAATTTTGCTAGCTATGAAAATATCTGACAACTCCTATTTATGTAGTTGCATTTCAATTTACAACCCCCGGCACATATGTAGATTTTAGAAGTTTCCTTGCATGTCAATGGTTGTAATAATAAATGGAGTACTAATCCAATTGTATGGTCCTGTTGTCCAAGAATGATAAGTAATGTAAGCAACATGTATAGTTTGAGAAGAAAAAGAAGCCAAGCACGAGGGACATATATACGTGCACATCACACGGGATGTACTTAAAAAGCCTATACAATCCTCATCAAACTATTTTGATTACAGTTTTAGCAGTACGTACCCGGCCCTCTGCACTAGACAATCGTTCCTAGTATGTATGTATGTATATATAGTTTGATGCAAATTTGGGCCGCTACCTGCCCCCTTGGTTTTGGTTATGGTAGGAATAGGATTGTTGTGAATGTGATGCACCATTAATCGCATGAGTCCCATGAACGAGACTGCCAAGCTGATGAAGTTGGTGTTGATATATTGCAGCCAGATTACCCATGTAAATCTCCATGCTCTTGGATTGAGCTAATGCATCGAAAGGGCCTACTGATGAACTAGCGCCATTGCTGTTGCTGACTTGCGAGTGCAGAAATTGCGGTGGAGAAGTTGGCATAGTTGTAGGAAGATGGAGGAATGGAAAATTATGCACCATGCCCATCCCTAACCCAACTCCCATGGTTGCACTGTGTGCGGCCGCCAATATCGACATTTGTAGCTGATGCTGCTGCTGCTGCTGCTTCTGTTGCTCCTGTTGTTGATGTAGTGCATGTGCATCAAAAGGGATCATCATTTGAGGGGCTGCGACCAAGCTTCGAGCATGGCTCATCATTTCAACTTGAGCTTGGAGTTGTTTCAAGTAATCGATCACCTCTTCTAACATTGAAGCTTTGTCCGTCTGATCGTGCATGCATGCATGTTAAGTTGAATTTAATTAATTCTTCACAATTAAGCTTCACGTACAGCTATATATATAGCTAGGCAAATATTATTTCATATATAATAATCTACAAATTAAGATCTAGCTAGTTACATATATATATGGGGTCATCCCATCCGTTATTAATTAATTAATTATTGTACCTTATGTGCATTTGGAACTAGCTTTTGCAGAGCTTTCATCTTCTGGTTAATCCTCTCTCTGCGTCTCTATAATACGATCCAGAAAATAAGAGCAATGCTAGAATTAAGGGTGATGATAATTGACTAGAATTAATTAACTGATGCATGCAATTGTATACTGATGAGTAAGAATTGATCATTTACCCTTTCTGATTGATTGTGCACAGTAGATGTTCTGCTTCTCGTGTTAGCTGATGAAAGTGTTTTGCTTGTTGTTTCTGTTTTGTTGGACTCCTCCTCGTCGTCATCTTCCACACCATCATTGCCTACCTGTTACATTGTAATTACTCCATTAATATCATAAATGATGCAATGTGAAAAATGAATTAAAATTCAAAAATAATATTCCAAAATTAAGTTCAAAATATGATCCATTTCTCTAAGAATGGATATTTTGTGGTTTGACTAGTAATGGGGCCAAAATAATCAATCATCTACAAGTAAGCGGTCGAACAAAAGTACAACCCGCACAAACCAAAATATGAAATAGGGTTAGCGGTGTTAATTTTTTTTTTTTTTTAATGGTGATAGGGTTAGTGGTGTTAATGCGATGCACGAGTAAGTAAAGTGATATTCATTAAATAGAAAACAAATCCGAAACAAAATAAATTCATAATAAGTCCAAATCAAAATAAATTCTAAAAAAGATGTAAGCCTCTAGACACAAATCTAGGAGAAAAAATATCAATGTGGTCCATTGTTAGAAGACTTCACAAGAATACAATAATGAAAGCCAATTGCTTGGAGAAATGAATTTTATAGGGAGCATAGAAAGTTTGGAAAGAAGTTTGAAGAATGAAAAATTCAATTGAGAATTAGTGAAAAAAGATATTTGAAGTTGGATATAACTATTAGTAATAATAGATTTCACAAGATTTCTTACAAAAACCATCAAATGAGTTTACTGTATTATGATTTAGCCCGATAAAGTGGAGAATAAAAGAATTTGATTGATGAATGAGGAGATGGTGGAGGAACGGTTTGGCGGGTCCCTCCGCACATAGCTAAAATGTGATGGTCAAGAAGTGCAAACAATCCATAGACCTGTTCAGTTAACCTAACCGTACCAATGGTGGATCGATTTTAGGTGGGTTGTTTTGGGTGGAGTTGGTGGGTGATCCACTAAATGTCCATCTCTAATTTTTGCTAATTATAGTGTGAGAAATTTTTTTGTGACCATCTCTAGAGTTATAAGTCCGATTCGCTAACTCTCGTAAGTTTGCTTCGTATTCATGATAGTCTATAATTGACGAAGTTTTGTATACCTCTATTTCAAATGTAATATATTTTAAAATGTGTATTTTATGAAATGAGTATATTTGAAAAACTAGCATTTGAAATACATGTAATTCAAATTCTTTTTTTATGCTCATTTGTAATTTATTTGTATTTTAAATTATAAATTTTTTTATTTGAGTTTTGATTTTTCTGGTCACTTACAAAAATTTTGATAAAATATGTTTTGAAAATCACCTCAAGAATTTTGCACAAATCCAAATGTCAAATATTATTAATATCCAAACAAATTATTTGACATTTGAAAATCCGAATAAAAAATACCACATCCAAATCCTTCTATCCAAACACACCATAATTTATTTTTCCTTTTAGTTGACTGTTAATAGGCGATATTTCTCTTCCGAGGCATTGACAATATAATCTTTTCCTGATAAGAGTCTATAGTTTTTTTTTTCTTTTTCTTTCCACAATGTTGTTGGGATCAAAACAAATCATTTGAGGTCGAAGTCGGTGTTGAGTAATATGGGCCTAAGCCCTTAATATGAGTGATGTATGTATAGTGAGGCAGGGTTTTCGGATGTAGGGTATATACATGAAATTGTGTATGATGGAGTTAAGATAATAAGAGAAACATCTGCCTCGGCCGTGGACTAGTCTCGTTCATATTGAACGAGGAAACCACATAACATCTTTGCTAATTTTGTGTTCTTCAATTTCCTTTCGGATTCTGTTACCATTTACATGGTATCATAGCCTTCTGTGACCGAGATGTCTTCTATTCGAATCTCGATGACCCCCATCTGTCTCTGTTTGTGTTAAGCACATAGAGTCTGGAACTATACCTGTGCAAACTTCAAGTCTATCTTAGTGGCTTGAGTTTGAGGCGATGTGTTAGCAAATGGTATATGATCCACGATTGAATCTCTCTTAACAACTCGAGTTATTGGGAATAATTTGTTCATGAAAATCTCTCGTTCTTCTCCTCTTCGTCTTTGTCCCCCCTTGCTTGATAGTTCTCTCGATCCTCCTTCATTCTCCAATGATGATGATGTTGCCATGCCATATTTTTACGCCCTCTAGGACCATGCTGCTACTGCTCCCTCCCCACCAACTCCTCCGTCACCACCACCGACTCCACCACCTCCTCCACCTTCGCCCACAACTCCAGTTTCTCGTCGGTCCATCCATTCCAATCTCAGCCAGCCTCCATCTAGTTTGCATGATTTTGTGACATATGACATTGATTTTATCCCCATACCGGCTCATTACTCCCAAGCTCGGGGAAACCGCATTGGGCCGGTGCCATGTAGGTTGAGATGGATACAGTGGATCGTAATCATACTTGGGATCTTGTCCTTTGTCGTCTTCCTCCAATTCCTGTGGTAGATTCTTGGTGGGTTTATGATCTTAAGTTTCACACTGATGGTTCTCTTGAGCAATGTAGTCAAAAACGCGTTTCTATGTAGAAGCGTTTTGGTGATCTAGAAGCGTAAAATCGTAAGTTTTTAAACTTCAAAACGCAGTTTTTAACTACAATAGTTATAAAAATTGAGATTATGCATAAAAGCGTTTTGGTGATCTTAAAAGTAAAAGCGTAAGTTTTTAAGTTTCAAAGCGCGATTTTGACTACATTGCTCTTGAGAGCTATAAGGCGCATGTGGTTGCCCAGGGTTTTACTTAGGAGTATGGAGTCGAATTTGAGGAGACATTTGCTCATGTTGCCATGATGGTTATCGTTCGTTCGCTTCTAGCTGTTGCAGCTCTCCGTAATTGGCCTCTTTACCAGCTAGATGTCAAGAATGCATTTCTGCATGGTGTTTTTAAGGAGACAGTGGACACGGAGTGTCCTCCTAGCTACTTCCATGGTACTTCTGAACTGGTGTGGATACATCGCCATTCTTTGTATGGTATATAGCAGGCTCTTCAGGCGTGGTTGGGAAAATTTCATGCTATAGTTATAGATCTTGGTTTTCAGCAAAGTTTGAATGATCCGTCTTTGTTTACTCGTCGCACTGAGCATGGATTAGTGGTCTTGTTATTGTATGTCAATGATATGGTCGTCACTGGTGACGATTCCTTGGGTATTGATCATCTTACTCGCGGCCTTCATGCCGCGTTCAGTCTGGAGAAGCTCGGCTCCTTGTCTTACTTATTAGGTTTAGAGGTGCATCGAACTATGGGTGGTGATTGTACACCTGTCTCCACTCCTATGGAACTTAATTTGAAGTTGGGTCGCGAATCAAGAGAACTATTGGAGGATGGGGTGAAGTAGTATTGCAGTATTGTAGGTTGCTTGATTTATTTGACTTCTACTCGTCCAGACATTGCCTATGTCGTTCAACTTCTGATTCATTTTATGGCATCTCCCCGCAAAGATAATTTGGCCTTGTCCTTCAGGCCTTTTGAGATTCTGATTATGCAGGGTGAGTTGATACATATAGATCGACATCATGACGGTATGTTCGTCTTTGAGACTCCTTTATTTCCTAGAGGTGTAATGTCAGATGTCACATCTGAACTGGAATGGCTTATACGACTTCTTGGAGATTTTTTAGTTTAGTGCGAGAAGTCTATGTAGTTATACGTGGACAATACGAGTGCAATTCGGATTGCGGTTAATCCAGTTCTTCATGATCGCACAAAGCATATTGAGATGCATATTCACCATATCCGAGATCTAGTTCAAGATAGCACTATCAGCTTACACTATGCCTAGTCAGAGGGTCAGATTGCAGACTACCTGACTAAGGCATTTTCGTCCAATCGTTACTCCTATCTCGCTGGCCAATTGATGATGCGAGACCTCCAACAATTTGTGGGAGGTTGTTGAGTAATGTGGGCCTAAGCCCATAATATTAGTGAGCTAGGGTTCTTGGATGTAGGGTATATATATACATGTAGTTGTTTACGTTGGAGTTAAGAGAATATGAGAAACATCTGCTTAGGTCATGGACTAGTCTCGTTCATACTGAACGAGGAAACCACGTAAACCTCTATGTTGATTTCGTGTTAATCTGTCTCCTTTTTTATTCCGTTACGAATTACAGTCGGTGCCATTGCACGCCTATATCATAAGGATGTGATGAGGCTGCATTGTTAACAAGTTGTTCCAAGATCTTGTAATTCCTATCCGACAATATATTGCTCACTTTGGACCTAGACTCTTACAAGAGTTTTCCTTGAGGTGCATATCAAGATGATTTTTCATAGAGTCACTTGTTTTACAAAAAGATTGTTTTTATTGAAACATATTATTTTACCGTTACAAATTTGTTGAACCACGGGGGTATGTATGACAAAATACCAGTGTTATTAAAGTCGAGCCGAGCCGCTCGGCCCGACCGGTAAAACCGCCACCCGGTAATAAAACCGGCTCGAAACAGTCTAAAAGCCGCTCTGGTTTTATGTAGCGGTTGGCGAGCGGTCGAGGCGGTTAACTGTTCGAGCCGATTGATCCGCTGGTCCGGTTTTTGCCATTCAGCCACTAAATTTAATTAAAAAAATTGCAGAAAATTGAAAATTGAAATAAACAAAAAAACGTAGGGCTCTCAAACTGAATCCTTATTTCCATTTCACAATTTCGAATGAAAGAAATGAGCTCTGGTACCGGTTCTCTAACGATTTTTAAACGGTCTAATGCCGGTTGGACCACTAAAGTGCGAGCCGTTCGCATTATCGGGTGATGCTCCGGTTTGGTTATAACAACATTGCAAAATACTCTAGGTACCACAAGTGGGTTTGATATAATTTGGAAGTAGAGTTTGGCAAACTATGTAAAAACAATTTGGAGTCTTTATCATCACCCTATTTTTTCTGGCTATAGGCTCGCCGAGATTTTGCCTCAAGAGCTAGCTGCAGCATATTTATTTAATTAATTATTTATATTTATGTTAAGCATGTAAATATTATGATTTTAAATGAGTCGTATAAATCATATGAAAGTATCCTCGATCCTAACAAAAATAAATAAATAAAAAATGAGTAAGAGTAGATGGAGAGAAGTTAAAAAAAGAAAAGAAATTTGGAGTTACCGATCGAGCGCGGGAAGCATGATCCTTATGAGGCTGTAGGGCTGTTCTCTTGCAGGAGGTCTGAAATGAAGCTGGAAGTGGCCACGTCATCACAGTACCATCGCTCTCTCCGCCCGAGGCAGCAGCGGTGGCGCAACCCCTCTGATCACCGTCTCCTTGTCTGTAATAATTAATTAACATCACACACATGATTGTTGCATGGTTGTTAATTATTAATATAATACCCAGAAGATTAATAAAGCATGAAAAACACATACATACATACATACAATTAATCTCAGATAGGTAGATGAACTAATTGATTCTAGCTAGCTAGTGCTGTTGTTGTCTAATATAATTAATTAAGCTGAAGGCTGACTGACTGACTGACCTGATGCGCTTCCGACAGGGGCCTGTGGTTGCAGATTTGGTGTCGGGTGGCGGCTGGACGGCGGCCGGAGGAGGCTTGAGAAAGGTGGCTTGGTGGACAATGGACTCCAGGGTATCGTTGTTGTTGTTGTTGTTCCTGCTACTGCCAACCCATATCGGTTTTGGGGTTGGGTTTTGGCTGCTACCCAGCCCGTTCATGGATAGCTGCCCCTTTTTCCATGTCAGCTCAGGGAGTTGATAACTATTGACCCAGGACCTGATAATATTGTATTGTTTCAAATTTGGAGTCATATATAGTAAGAATTTCGAGTCATAATTAATTGAAGTGGCTTAGCTTACATGGGGAAATTAAGAGATGGGCTGCGGTGCTGTTGTTGTTGTTGCAGTACGCAGTTGAAGATCGAGATGGATGTTTCTCCACTGCTCTCTCTGTATGGACCTTAGTTGGGTTCCTCTGCCTAGCTAGTTGCCAGCTGAGAGATTCAAACTGATCAACAATTAATATACGAGGGGATGGAATAATAGAGCATAGTATCCAGCTCTCGTTTGTTTTCGTTTCTATGGAGGTGGTAGTGGTAGCCTCAGCCTGGTAGGGTATAAGTGAGAGAGGAGAGGATGGCAATATTATATTCCAAGTCGTTGGGTTGGGTTGGGTTGGCCCCATGAAATGAAAGGCTACAGCCAAGAATGTAGGGCAGAGCCGAATTAAATTGGGGTTAATTGGTCCCATATATGCATCCCATTGAGAGGAGAGCACTACATCCACAAGAATTACTTGGGCGACTGTTGCGTTGGGCCTCCTCTTAGACTTACCTTGCGGGGAAGGAATCGATGGATGGATCCATATAATTAATGATGCGGCACCAACTTGGCCAACGGGAATCGGGCGCGCGAGGTGTAGAGCAAGAAAGATATGTTGAGGAGAGATCGACGGGATGTGTGTGATCAATGATGCGTTTGGGAGGGAGTGGTTGTGAATCATTGGCAGCGTTACCTATCTTCTTCATTGCTTTGCTTTGCTTTGCTTGCCTCTTCATGAATAATAAGATGCTTTTGGATTCTACGCGTCCTTTCTTTCTTTTCCTGTCTCCTGCTTTTTTCCCATATTTCTTTCTTTCTTTCTTTTTACATTACATTACATTACAAAACAAAACAAATGTATATATATATATATATATACGTGTATTATTATATTTCACTACTCGGGGATATCGTTGACAATTTCAACTATTATTTATTTTCTAGTAAGTCGCATTCTGCATTAACTCCATTGATTTTGATGGAGATTATATATCCCAAAGACCCAAACACAAGTGTAGCCTTCACCATATACACTTCACAACTACCTCATCTCTTACCATATATAAGTGTGGCTTAATTCTATTGTGGCTCGCTCACTTCATGTCAAGTTGTTGCTTATGGCTTTATCGGATTGTGGTTTAGTCCAACTATATATGGGTTAATCGAACTTAAGGGTCAATCGGTTCGTAGGTTGATCTAGTCATGAGTTGATAGGGTTGGGATCAATCAAGTTGTGGCTTTTTTCGAGTCAAGCCTACTGATAACACCCAAAATGGTTTTATTAATTAGTCTTTGTATTTAGGCTAATTTTAAGTCACTTTGTGGTCTCATTGGTTGATATGTCATGCAATGCATCTATTTTTCGTTCCTCGAAGAAAATATTGTTACATTAGGGTGTATTAGGTGATACACACGTTTTAGGTACAAGAAGGGGGTCACAAGTGTAGGATTATGTGCAAAAATGAGAGATCACGGCCGGTAAGCAATGGCACAAAGCTGAGCATCGAGATCACGACCTCCACCGATGAGATCGCGACCACAAAGATTGGAGGTTTGGGTGCGAACTTGAAGTTGCATCAAACAATGGTGGACCAGAGAGTTTTGACAGTGGACTCGCTGCTCTCATTGTCCATGCCCGCGACAACGATCTCGATCGTGACATCCCAGATCGCGACCGTGATGTCAGACCGCGAACTTCCCATTTAGCAAGGCGTAAAAGGTAGCATCCAAGATTGCAACCTCACCTCCAAAGATCATGCCTTGATTGTTTGACTTGTTAATCATTGTTCCTCGACCTATTTAACTCTAGGTTGTGCTTCTTTTTCACATTTCAGGTCCTAGTACGTTTGGAAAGGTCAGGGACGAGTTTCGGGACATTCAGAGGTCAAAATGAGCCAAAAAATGGAGTTTTGTGCAAGGTTCATGGGCTTGGTGTAATGTTCACGCCATGACGGAGTGAAAATCACACCAAAACCAAGAGCCTTTGTGCATCTCGTAGGCTGTGCACACTTCACTAGCTAAGGGAGTGAAAATAACACAAAAATCGTTAAGTGTGCACAAAACGGTGTGTTTTCTGCTGAGACACGTTTTGAACTGTTCATGGCCGTGAAATAACACAAAAACGCAATCATTGCATTGCTACGATGATATATTGACGGCAAGGAGAGCTGGGTTTGTTACCCCAAAACACCCAATGGGCTATTCTAGAGAGAAAGAGTGACCTATGAGGGGTCTATGAGGTATTTTGGAGGATCAAATCGCCTTTGAAACTTGAAGAACACCCTCTAAAGATGAAGATTGAAGTTTCTCTATGAATCAGCGTTCCTTCTCTTAGGTAGATGGAAACTAGTTCTTGATTTTGGTTTGAATGTTGATGCATGCGACAAATCATATATTTGATTACTTTTATTATCTATTTGATTGATGTTTATGACGAATTGAATGAGTCTTGACACTTCTTTATGTGAATTGAGCTTTTGACCTAGGACTAGAGGGAGAATATCCCCCTAGGTTGAATAGAGCACCTTCAATCCTTCACTATAGGTATTTGATACAAAAGTAATAAGCTTCATAGTGTTGTATTGGGTACTGTGGTGTAGGTTTTGCCCAATCGTGGGTATTAGTGGTCAAAACCTCTATTTTCTTCACTGGTTGTTCGGTACGCCTCTCCGGGTAATGCAATTGAGCGGGGTTGGATGCACTCTAATATGGGTTCCAATCTTGTCTAGTATTCTTCATGGTAGGAATATAGAGCCAATGAATCTAGTATAATAGTATAGGTGTCAAAACATAGCCCGATCCGATTAACCCGCCCGATCAACCCGACCCGCAACCCGAATTGACTAAAAGTCAACAACCCGTAACCCGCCCGACCCGCAACCCGATTGACCCACAACCCAACTAACCCGCAACCCGATTAACCCGAACCCGATTGACCCGCAACCCGACTGACCCGCAACCCGATTAACCTGAACCCGATTGATCCGAACCCGACTAACCCGTAACCCGACCGACTCAACCCGAATTTCATCTAATCCACTTGAATAATTATAAAAATATACAATACATAGTTTTTCAAAATAAAGTTTTTCATTCTAAACTTAAGTAAAATTATTTTTTCATTTCGTATAAGAAATTTTAAAAATATGAAACTCACTTGATATATGTATTTTAAGAAAATTACAAAAATTGAAACATGAAGGTCACTTGAGATCATGACAATATTAATATAATATATAAATTAAAATTTTGGTTAATTTAACTATTCAATAAAATTATCAATTAAATATAAATAAAGTAAAGTAATTTATTTGGTAATTTGATGTTTTTAAAAGAAGAGGGAAATTTTGGTGTATTCAAATTTTTGGGAAGAGAAAGAAGAGGGAAATTGGGTTCTTTGAATTTTTTAGAAAAGAAACAAGTGGGAATTTTTGTGGTTTTGATATGTGGGAAGAGAAAGAAGTGGGAAAGTTTGATTCTTTTGATTATGAAAGATAAATAAGGAGGGAAACTTTTGACTTTTCAACTTTTTGTAGAAGGAAAGAAGAGGGTAATTCACTAATTTGGTTATTTCAATTTTATGGAAGAGAAATAGGAGGGAAAATCGAGTTTTTCTAATGTATGGAAGGAGAAAGAAGGAGGGAAATTTTAGTATTTTTGTGAAAAGAAAGAAGGAAACAAATTTGGTGTTTTCAATTTTTTGGTTTTTCATAATTTTAACTTTTGAAATATGAATCTTTAACTTTTATATGGAGGGCATGACTAGTTAAAATTATTCTTATATGCTTTGAAGGCTAATATGTATATATGTATGTAATTTTTTTATGGGCTAATAAATAAGTTAACCATTAGTTACAACAATTTATACTAAACTTGATAAGTAATCTTTGACGGTTCGTTGTTTAGGATATAAAGTATATGGTTAGGGTAGGGTATAAGGTATAAGGTACATATGATTTAGGGTGTATATGGTTAGGGTATAAGATATTGATGGTTTTGACGGTTCTAAGTTTTTTATTAACATATGTTCACTTGAAGTCATTCGATGTCTTTAACGGCAGGAGATCCCTTTTTAATTTATGTTTATGGTACGTGGTTAGAGTACAAGGTATGTGGTGTAAAGTATAGGATATATGGTTAGGGTATAACAATGAGCAAATATCACTTTTTATCTATGTTTTGAAAATCAAAGTATGAATTTCACTTTTAAATTAACTATACTAGCAAAATCACAACTCAAGGACATATGGTTAGGGTATAGGTTATGTGGTTAGTGTATAATGTATTGATGGTTTAGGGTATACAATCAACAACATATACTAACTTAATATTGTTGATTGAGGGTAAAGCGAAGTGTATAGGATATATGCGATTGAGTAAGTTATGATTGAAGTCACAATAATTTTACTAAATTTGATAGCTAATCTTTAATGGTTCAATTTTTAGGATAATTCGAACAATTTTACAAATAACTCATTTGGCAACAGTTTACTAAAGTTATTTGGGCAATGAGTTATTTTGAAATAACTCCTTTTATCACTTTTGCCAAATACCACACGCCAAATACCAGATTTGCATGGTTATACTAAACGAGATACTTTAATCCAATTACTACTGAATTAAAACTAAAATATCAAATAAACAATTGACGGTGTCTTTTGGTTGCAAATATTGATATCACCATTACTATTAGCTATAATACTTTACCAATTATGATTAATTACATAACAAGTTTGCAAGTCATACAAATTGATTTAACATTTTGACTAGTTTTTTTCAAAAAAAAAATAAAGTATATATATACGAGGTAGAAATAAATTGGTTAAAAAGTTGAGAAAATATTTTAAATTAGTATAATAAAATGTGTAAGTTGGTAATGAGTAATGAGTTAAGTTACTTGATGCGCTTGCTCGAACAACCCGAAACCCGACCTGCCCACAACCCGCCCGACCCAAAACCCGATGAACCCGCAACCCGTTTGAACCCGAACCCGATGAACCCGAACCTGATGAACCCGCAACCCGACTAACCCGCAACCCGTTTGAACCCGAACCCGATTGAACCCAGCCCGAACCCGCCCTATTGACACCTATATATAATAGTCAACATTGATCCAATTGAGAAGCAAGGGGGATTCAAGCCTAGAGCTACCAAACTTGTAATTAACTAGGGTATTGGTTAGGTTTGTGTAGTTAGTTTAGTCTTAATCACTATTCTTGGTTGGCTAGATAACAAAAGTTAAGCATTAGTAAGGTACATCTAGAGACTCATGGTTCTATATTTTTATTACTTGCTTACCCTATGCTACATGCAGTTGTTGGTTATACTTGATCTTCGATTGGGAAGTTGTAGTTAGATTAAGCCATGTTTTTGACGCCGTTGCCGGGGACATTCTAGGTTTTCGGGAAAAGGCTTAGGTCGTTACTCTAGCCATTTTGTTTTTGTTTTTATTTTGTTTTTTTGTTGACCCATTCTTCGCTTAGA